AAAAAGAAACGTTTTTGCAATATTCAAGTACCTAACCATAGTTTTTCTCTTCTAATCCACAGATACACAACTGGCAACATACCTTACACCAATTATTCGAAAGAATGCATACATACTTTGGAGTAGCAATAATACCTATAAACTGTTCTACTCAAGGCGACATTGCAACTTTCTACACCTCTAGTCTCACCGTAATATCGGAAATAATTAAGTTTGACTTCATGTTTCCATTTTGTCGAACCATGTACAACATAGATATTTTATTCTACGATAAAACATCTATGGATTTCTTTGGAAAGATGATCACCGTAGACGAGGTGGTTAATAGTGTTGTAAGTCAAAGATTTAATGAGTTGTGCGAGTTGGACTTGTCTAACTTCTGTGATGATGCAGGTAAGTCAAGAGAAACTTGTAAATATTAGTAGAATCATTTGTTTTTACATATCAAAGGTTTGTAACCGCTTTGAGATTGACTATTTAGTGCTGAAAGTCTTTTTAAGTATGTATATTGTTATCATTATATCATCTGGAATCTGTAATTTTAATCACCTCATATACATATACATATTAAAAAATGTTAGTTAATTCTGCGCGGTTCCATCTGCTCCACTTAGCTTTTATTGATGGCAGCGTGATGTTTCATAGCCCATAGCTTTCCTTGATAAATGAAATATCCGACACAAAAAGACTTTTTCAAATCGATCCAGTCGTTCCAGAAATTTGCGAGTTCAAACAAACAAAATCTTTAGCTTTATATCTAATAGTATATTATATATATAATTAATATACTTAGTTAAAGTACCTATAATGAACTTTATTTACTGAACATTTTTTTATGGCTTTCAGAATTTACCAGTAAAAGAATATTTTTCTTTAAAATCTCTCTGCTTGCCAATTTTAAAATACTAATGCTGAGAATGGGAAGAGACACAAAAATTTTGAATTTAAGCCACAATAACTTAAGGTAAGTTAGTTGATTTTTTTAACTGTAGTTACTGCACCACCAGCCTCCACCTCTTCAACCTCTGATCTATCGGAATGCAGATCTACGCGAGACACAATGTGTTTTCCATAGTGTCTCATATGATAAGATAAGAAAGGGGTGTTGTAATGTTATACTGTTTTTTGGATTTTAAATAATAATAAAATTAGGGGTACATTTTACGTAGTAAATTCCTAATGTAGGTAATTTTCATTTTAATTAACGATCATTCTTATCATTTCTATTCTTTAAAGTAATTTTTATAAAGAGACAGAAAATGTTTGCGTGTATTGGACATGGATTATATTTTTTGTGGAAACATGCAATATGTGTTAACAAAAACAAATTTATCCTTTCAGTGTAGTACCACTAGATGTGTTGAACTTCTTCATAAAGGCAGATTTAACTGCTGTAAACTTCAGCTACAACAATGTAAGTTTCTCTTATTTTTAATTCTTTACTTTCTGACACTGGATAAGTAACTTAGTACTTAAGTATTTTATGAGTACATTTTTCTGTCAAAGGAGATCATGTTTTTGGGCCTTTTCCGAAAGTGCCATAACGCCAGAAAAGGCCCAAAAATGTATGGAGCCAAAATGATCTCCTTTAGTGTATTTCTTATGGAAGTCTCTCCTAATGAGTGTTTCATACTAAGCAAGAAACATATATTTTTCAAAGTCTATCTCTCGTTGATTCTGAAAGTAAAACTATATTTTGCCATCTATGCCTTGGAAATAAAATCCTTATGTAATAACTACATACAGCTTGGCAAAAAATAGTTTGACGCGATGACTGCTGGAAGTGGAACTCTGTTAATTTGGACTGAATAACCTACTTGGGACCATATCCCATGAATAAACTATGATCTGGATAGTGCCACCTCTTTTTAAACTCAATAACAATAAAAGATATCAAAACCGATTGAGTCCGTACCGTACCAGGTTACTAGCGACCTCAAGCAATCCAAATTCTTTTTTACCAAACTGTACCTTACTAATTCTATTTTTCATGTTATCAAACTAGGACTCTACTCTGAACAAAATAATTAATTATTTATTTCTTTTTGCAGATTCCCTCAATCGCCGAATTATCGAGAGTCAGCAGTAAGATAGAGAAGCTCTGGCTTGAAGGCAATCCTTTATGTGCTGATTTAGATCCAGTCACCTATGTCAAAACAGTTACTATGAAGTTTCCTAGACTTACTGAACTGGTAATGATTTTAAATATATTTTTGTTCGACGTTTGAAAAATAGTTAATCAAATATAATGGTCTACTACTAAACTAATGTAGCATGGCGCCCGATATGTGGCAATAGCTTTAGAATCGACCAAATCTGCCACAGAACAGTGTACGAAAACAATCTATAAAAGTTTTACACTTTACTATAAATATTGAAAGTGCTGTTGCTTGGCTTCGGATATACAATATGTATATAGGCCTCATGCCTAAAGAGGCGTAGCCAGACGCGAGTTTTTTTTTAAACAAATCTGTACGTCCTTTGTTTTGGGACGTTCCATTACGTAACTGATTCTTTATTAACTGATTAATCTTTAATTTTCTCAAAGGAAAACTACAAACACATTTTAATTTTATGAATACTTAATTATTCTTTCAGGACGGTATACCGTTAAATCAAAATGGTATAGTGTATCCATTCTACAGAAACTATCTGTGTGTTCCGGACAGGAGAACTAAGATGTTAGTTGAAAAGTTCGTCACGTTATATTTCTCGAACTACGACCAGCCACCGAAGATACGTAAGAAAAAGATTGAACCGCTGTATGATGAAAACGCTGTGTTTACGTTGACCTGCGACTTGTCCGGTAAGTTATGTTACGATCTTTAACTAATTAATATATTATTTCCTAAAACTGCAACCATATATCAGAGACAGTGCATCCATAAGACAATTGTGTAACATTTAATTAACGAGCCTACAATTCTACGCAGATTGAATAGAAAATATCCACAAAATCTGATTGATCATGAGGAAGCGGTCATGTCAGTGGATGTGGTTGTCAGTTCACCGTAGAAAGAAAATATTAGTATAGAAATATTGCATAAAAATGAAAGTTACCCTGGGGAGGGAAGTACGCTAAATTTTCGGTTACCTAACACCTACCTAAAATTGGCAAATTGCAAGTGAAAAGAAGACTTTATATTTAAGAAGATTTTATATCTGTTAACCCTTCATTGATTAAAAGACGTGATATTATAACTAAAATAACTACTAAACATTTTTTCTCAATTCCAGAAGCTGATAAGTTATACTACCACTACACACAATGCTCGCGCAATATGATGAACCCTTGCAAACGACCGGTGTACGTGCAGGGCGCCAAGACGTATACTACTAAACAACACATCAGCAATATCCTATCGACCTTCCCTGAAACATTGCATGATAGGAGCACTTTTACCGTCGATGTGCTTGTACATGATGTGAGTATATAAAATATAACATATTGTTGTTCTTTTGCCTCTTTCGAGTCTCAGTTCGTGTAAAGTGTTATTGGGCCTTTTTCGCCTATTAGAATATTTCTTATATTTCTTCTCCTTATGACCTAAAATTGCGATGGATAAACTGTAGCATTACCTTAACGTTCGGTGACTTAATTGTGCTCCCAGGCCTTTACGAATCGATGAAAATAAACGCTTTACGGGCGAACTATATAATAAATCGACTGCTGTATACAGAGGCCTTAGTACGAGTTTCATTTACGTTTAAAGTATTCGAAACGAGTACGCGTTCGGCGATGTGATTGGTTGCTTCATTGGTGCTGGCCAATCAGAGCGCAGAGAACGTAAATCAAACTCGTACTAAGGCCTCAGGCTGCATTCAGCAGGAACGCAGTAGACTTATTCTGGTTGATGATGATGATGACTCATGCAAGTAATGGTTCTTTTTGTTACAGAAAAAGTCACTTCACATAGTCATCGATGGAATTTTCAAAGAAAAGTACAGCGGAACAATGTTTCAATTCAGAAGGACATTTATTTTTACTATCTATACTATTAGGGACAACTCTGTATATCATGTTACAAATGATATGTACTCTATTACGTATCCTAGTAAGGAAATAACCAGTGCAAGCTTTTTGGTAAGTATCTTGTCTTATTCATTTGCTACTAACAGTTGAAATTAATAAGTGATTTCAATTCAGAATCTTTAAATGTAGATTTTGAGCTGGGATTGGTTATGAATTCCGCCCGCAAGTCGGTTAAATTGTTAGAATCTGTATGTACCAATAGAATTTATATGTTAATCACCTGAAATTTTTGATGCTTTTATTTAATTTTTTCATCTAATGTGCTACGTTTTTCCGGGTAGCGAAACGAAACCGCTGGTCGAAGTTCATTAAAAAGCGTTCCTAAATAAGTATTTTTAAGTAACGATTTGTTATATTTGTTTCAGCATCCAATAAGAAATATGAATTCTCTATCACTAATAAATCCTACTCCTGAAGAGAGTGATGCATTAATCAACGCATTTCAACATCTCACTCAATTGAGGAAAACTGAAGTTGAATTGTAAGTATACTTATTGTTAGTACTTTCAAATCTGGAAAGGAAAATTCCTTGCCTGCCTTTATTATAGGTACAGTTTTCTTTTAATGTAGTTATCAATACATAGTATAAAACAAAGTCGCTTTCGCTGTATGTCCGTATGTATGCTTAGATCTTTAAAACTACGCAACGGATTTTGATGCGGTTTTTTTTAATAGATAGAGTGATTCTTAAGGAAGGTTTATATGTATAATACATGCATATTGCACCCGTGCGAAGCCGGGGCGGGTCGCTAGTGAGAAAATAAAATATATAAAGGCTCAATTTGGATAGGAGGAAAGGTGCGGAAGTGCGAGTAAAATAATAATATACTCCAGTATATTAAAGTTCAGTAGAAGGTCCACCTTCTACTGAACTTTAGGGCTCGTACAAAACTGCAATGCGATGCGATGCGCATTCGCAACACAAAAAAAAACTATGCGAATTGCTGCAAAGCGAATGCGTGCGACAAGGCGTCTCCCTGGGTGACCATTCCTTCGACGACCGTCAACCGTACTAAACGAGGTCGTGACATGGGTTGTAAAAAGAAGTATGCACTTCTGATATTGTTTAGGAGATACAGTAAAGAAACACAAAGAAGATTTTGGGAAAATATGATGCGCGATGCAAAACAATCGGCTATTTGACTGTTGTAACAACAAAATATAAAATATGTTGTTTACGGTAGCTTTCAAGAAAACAATACTTATACATAATGTTTTTTATTTCATTTAAAAATCTTTTAATAATTTATTTTTGGAAAAATAATCTCAGCTTTGTTTATCTGTGGATGATAATGAGCAAAACGCTGGCTGCCATGATTGAACATCGTATGACGTCATATTTCAATAAACAAATAGTTCCCCATCTTTGTTCTTGTATTTATCTCTGAAAATAATACGCTTTCTATTTTAATTTGTGCTTTTTAGAAGTTTAAGGAAATTGAGTCGGGCTACATAAAACCGGATACCTAGCTCAAATCTACTTAAAGTTGTTTCGCACTGATTTCTTTTAAATATAGGTACTTACATCAAAGTGGTCTTCACAAAAGAATAATATCGCAGATGTATCAGGTGTAATCTGCTTGTTTCGGCGTGGTAGTTTCAACCATTACTTAAATTACTTTCGACAATTGGGGTATTTACGAGCGTTTAAAAACATTTTTTTTTATATTAGTCCTTCTGCACATTGAAGCTTACCATTTTTTTTATTTCATATATGCATTACAATTACATATATGAAATATCTATGTTAAATGTTGTTTCCACTCAATCATATGAGAAACTGCTTTGTTTGTTTATTAGAATATGACGTCATAGCTCGGAGATGTCACGTGACCGAGTGTTTAAGCGCGAATTACAAATCGACAAATAAAAAATAATTATTTTCTCCATAAAATAAGACTTTTTTGATGAAAATATAATTGTATGGGGTTTTAAATGAAAGTACGTTAACTTTACAATATTTTCCCGGATATTTTAAAGTAGCCAATTCGGAAGTACTTCCGATGCATAGAGGGAGCTCGCACATTTTTGCGATGCAACGTCGCATCTCAGTTTTGTGTCCAAGCCCTTATTGCTACAACTTGAACATTGAGAAGAGCATTTTTTCCAAAGTAAATGTTCAATTTTATTTAAATCCAAATGGTATAAACATTGTTTTTATATTTCAGGCGCCTGAAATACCACGGCTGGGATATCCGAGATGCATTGAAAAGCTTTATGGTAGATGCAAAAAGTAAAAAAATGCCAACAGATTTGTTTATGGATTCCGATTTTTCTGACAGTTCGTCACTATTGGACGAAGTTGATTAAAAAATAAAATTAATTGTTTTTGAAATATAAATACTCTCATTTAATTGTTCAAAATATTTTTACATAAGAAATAAAATAATTCTTATCCTGATCTTGATACCATTTATAAAGGTAAATAATTAATAATTAATATAATTGCTCTCGTATAATATACTCGTATAAACTCGTATAAAAATAAAAAAG